TCGGGCTCCTGAATAGCCAAGCTTTCAGGTGGTGTGCCACTGACCCCACCTGGTAAAGTATATTTTAATTAGTTTGATTGTAGTGATTATTTCACAACATATACATATTTCAAATTGAGTTGCATACCTTAAAATATATAGTTTTAGTCTGGCATGGTGGCACACAACTGTCCTATCTACTCAGGAGGTTGAGACAGGAGGATTTGAAGTTTGAGGCCAGCCTGGATAACTTAGCAAGACCAAGACCCTATGTCAAAATAACATTAAAAAACAAGGGCTGCGAGCTCAGAGGGAAAATCCTCCCAGGTTCAATTCCCAGTACCACACACAAGTACATATTTTTGTCTTTGTTGCTATTTAAAGATACTCTTTAAGAGGAGAGGACAAGAAGGGCAGGTTGGGGCTGCAGGTGAGAAGATTAGGAATTTGCCTTAAAGGCCTCTTGGATATACAAATGGAGATATTGAGGAGGAGGTCAGATATATGAGTCTGGAGTTTAGGGGACAAGTCTTTTTTTTAATCCAGAGGCACTTTACCACTAAGTTATATCCTCAGTTTATTTTTATTTTGAGACAGGGTCTTGTTAAATTGCTGAGGCTGTCCTTAAGCTTTGGTTAGTCCTGCCTCAGCTTTCCAAGTCTCTGGGATTACAGGCATGCGCCACAACACCTGGCTAGAGGAGATACTGAGAGGTCTGGGAATGATCAGCATTAGGGCAGCAAACTGATTGGTGACAACCTGACTGGGCCACAGGATGCCCAGAAAATCATTAAACATTATCTCTGGGTGTGTCTGGGAAGTTATGTCCAGAAGCTATTAGCATTCGAATTGCTGGACTGGGTAAGCAGAGGGTTCTCCCCAGTGTGGTGGCCTCATCCAGTTCCTTGGGGTCTGAATAGAACAAAAAGGCAGAGGAAGGTGGAAATCTCCCTCCCTCTGCCGGATTGTGAGTTGAGGCAGCCATCTCTTCCTGCCCTTGGCACTCCTGGTTCTCAGGACTTCAGACTTAGACTGGAATCTACCACATAGGCCTCAGTCTCAGCTTTCCTGGATTTATAGCATGAAGATAGATCATGGGACTTGTGTCTCCATAATTGCCTGAGCTGATCCCTTATTTTAGTTTTCAACAAACAACAGAAATTTATTTCTCACAGTTCTGAAGGCTGGGAAGTTCAAGGTGCCAGCAGATTTGCTACCTGTAAAGGCCCATTTCCTGTTTCATAGATAACTGTCTCTTCACTCTCTGGGGTCTCTTATAAAGGCACTAGTCCCATTTATGAAGGCGCCACTCTCATGACCTAGTCATCTACAAAAGGCCCACCTCCAGATACAAATTTTGGAGGCTCATAAACATTGAGTCTGTAACAAAAGAACCTTATCCAAGATCGTGTATTAACTACCTATTATAACATAACAAACTACTCAAAATTCAGTGGCTCCCAATAAGCAGCATGTTATGTCACAGTTTCTGCTATTTGGGAATCCTGAGCAGATTAGTTAGATTGTTCTGTGTTATGGTCTCTCCTGAGGTTGCAGTCAAGATGTAGAGCCAATCCTTTATAATAAATCTCTCCTACTGGTTCTGTTTCTGGAAAACCCTGATGAATTAATGAAGTATTTAAAGCCATGAGTCTGGGGCTTGGGATATAGCTTAGAGGTCGAGCCTTTGCATACCACAGTAAAGGCCCTGGGTTCAATCCCCAGCACGGCAAAAATAGAAATAATGCCACAAACCTGGATGAAATCTCTAAGGAGTATGCGGAGAAGAAGTCTAGGGACTGGGGTTTCTGCACAACAAAGTGGACAAGGACTGAGGCCTGGGCTGCTCTGAAGAAGAGGAACCAGGATGAAGGAAGAAACCCAGGAGAGGAGAGGTACTGGAAGACAAGAGAGTGCAATGCTGCAGACAGCCCACTGTACAAGTGGCATGAGGGCTGGTGGAGAGGAAGACCACTCTTGCTTTCCACAGGCTGGCTGGCACAGCCTTTAAGGAGACAATGTGAGGAGTTGTGCCCTCCTGGGAGCTAGAAGCTGTCTCTCCTACACAAGCTCCTGTTCTGGAGGCCTGGCCCCCAACTCTTTGGGCATAATTTCCCTCTGGTCTCAACTCCCAGGAGTCTTTGAAGACTCAGCTAGGTACTTTTGCTCTGCCAGGTAGCTGGACTGACCCCAGGTCTGAGATGATGCCCTGCAGCTCCCATAGCATCTGCTGCCCGCCCTTGCTGGAGAACTCCCCACACCAAGCCTGCTCACGTGCCTGTCTCCACTAGGCCA